CAGTACAAAGCCCGAGCCCGTCAAAAGTCACAAGTATGGATAAAGCCACAAGCCAGGAAAAAGCCAGTTTTACAGAAACTGCAAATACAGTAGTTCGAAAGCCGAGCCCGACAAAAGTCACAAGTATGGATAAAGCCACAGGCCACGATCAAACAATTTTAGCCGAGGCCACATATAGCGCAGTACAAAGCCCGAGCCCGTCAAAAGTCACAAGTATGCATAAAGCCACAAGCCAGGAAAAAGCCAGTTTTACAGAAACTGCAAATAAAGTAGTTCGAAAGCCGAGCCCGACAAAAGTCACAAGTATGGATAAAGCCACAGGCCACGATCAAACAATTTTAACCGAGGCCACATATAGCGCAGTACAAAGCCCGAGCCCGTCAAAAGTCACAAGTATGGATAAAGCCACAAGCCAGGAAAAAGCCAGTTTTACAGAAACTACAAATAAAGTAGTTCGAAAGCCGAGCCCTACAAAAGTCACAAGTATGGATAAAGCCACAGGCCACGATCAAACAATTTTAGCCGAGGCCACATATAGCGCAGTACAAAGCCCAAGCCCTACAAAAATCACAAGTATGCATAAAGCCACAAGCCAGGAAAAAGCCAGTTTTACAGAAACTGCAAATAAAGTAGTTCGAAAGCCGAACCCGACAAAAGTCACAAGTATGGATAAAGCCACAGGCCACGATCAAACAATTTTAGCCGAGGCCACATATAGCGCAGTACAAAGCCCGAGCCCGTCAAAAGTCACAAGTATGGATAAAGCCACAAGCCAGGAAAAAGCCAGTTTTACAGAAACTGCTAATAAAGTAGTTCGAAAGCCGAGCCCGACAAAAGTCACAAGTATGGATAAAGCCACAGGCCACGATCAAACAATTTTAGCCGAGGCCACATATAGCGCAGTACAAAGCCCGAGCCCGTCAAAAGTCACAAGTATGGATAAAGCCACAAGCCAGGAAAAAGCCAGTTTTACAGAAACTGCAAATCAAGTAGTTCGAAAACCGAGCCCGACAAAAGTCACAAGTATGGATAAAGCCACAAGCCAGGATAAAGCCAGTTCTACAGAAACCAAAATTAGCGAAGTAAAAGTCTCAAGTCCATCAAAAGTCGTTAGTATGGATCAAGCCACAATCCAGTATAAATCCAGTTCTACAGAAACCAAAATTAGCGAAGTAAAAGTCCAAAGCCCATCAAAAGTCACAAGTAAGGATAAAGCTACAGTCCAAAAAGCCATTTTTTCAGAAACCGCAATTAGCGCAGTACAAAGCCCGAGCATGTCAAAAGTCACAAGTATACATAAAGTCACAAGCCAGGATAAAGCCATTTTTGCAGAAACAGCGTATAGCGCAGTTCAAAGCCCGAGGCCGTCAAAAGTCACAAGTATGGATAAAGCCACAAGCCAGGATAAAGCCAGTTTTTCAGAAAATGAAATTAGCGAAGTAAAAGTCCCAAGTCCATCAAAAGTCACAAGTATGGATAAAGCCACAAGCCAAGAAAAAGCCAGTTTTTCAGAAACCGCAATTAGCGCAGTACAAAGCCCGAGCATGTCAAAAGTCACAAGTATGGATCAAGCTACAGTCCAAGAAAAAAACATTTTTATAGAAAACCCAAATAATGCAGTGCAAAGCCCAATCCCTTCAAAAGACACAAGTATGCATAAAACCACAAGCCAGGATGAAGCCATTTTTGCAGAGACAGGGTATAGTGGAGTGCAGAGTCGTAGTCCATCAAAAGTCACAAGTATGCACAAAGCCAAAAGCCATAAAAAATCCATTTTTACCGAAAATCAAAATAATGCATTGCAAAGTCCAATACCCTCAAAGGACAAAAGTTTGCATAAACCAACAAGCCAGGATAAAGCCATTTTTGCAGAGATAGCATTTAGTGGAGTGCAGATCCCTAGTCCATCAAAAGTCACAAGTATGCATAAAACCACAAGCCAGGAAAAGGCCATTTTTGCAGAAACAACGTATAGCGCAGTACAAAGCCCGAGCCCGTCAAAAGTCACAAGTATGGATAAAGCCACAGGCCAGGATAAAGCCAGTTTTACCGAAAATGAAATTAGCGAAGTAAAAGTTCCAAGTTCATCAAGAGTCACAAGTATGGAAAAAGCCACAGGCCAAGAAAAAGACAGTTTTGCAGAAACCACAATTAAAGCAATGCCAAACCGGAGCCTGTCAAAAGTCACAAGTATGGATAAAGCCACAAGCTACGAAAAAGCGATTTTCAAAGGGATAGCATACAGCGCAGAGCAAAGCCCGAGCCCGTCAAAAGCTCGAATCATGGAAAATGTTAGTAGCACGGGTGATGCTGCTAGTCCACACAGACTCGTAAACGCAAAAAAAGTTCAAACGATATGTCATGATGATAATCCTGAAGGTTTTTACACTGAAATCGGACAAACACTTTACTCTTTACTTTCAAGGGTTGACCCCCAAAACATCACTGAAGATGAAAGCGCTGACCGCTTAACAAATGCTATTAATTTTCTGAGAGATCTTATTCAATCAGACCTTTGCCTAACCAGAGAGAATTACGAGACCAGCAACGATAGGGGAGGGAGCGGTCAATTCAATTCAAGGGCTGTGTCAGAAGGTGATGCTATCGACAAATTCAAGTCATTGATCGAATCTTACTATAGCTCTATTGGTGATACTGGTACTGTCATTAGAGAAAACAATAAGGTAATACATTTAGGGGAAGATGGTTCAACCGCGTTTTATTTTTACGACCTGTTTGAAAATAAAGGAGTTATAGAACAGAATATGCAAGCTAAAGTTGTATCCCGCTACGACGTGGCTTGCGACGTAGTGGAAGACTTCAAACGGCTGTGGGATGAAATGGATATTCAAACACAGTCCACTACTGAAGTTGGGGCAGGTAATGTGCGTGCCAGTAGCCGTCGGAAAGGCTCCAAAAGAGACTTTGCTTCTTCTGTCGTAGACGATTTTGAAGAGGAAATTATGCAGCGTATTTTGACAACCGCATGCCAAACTGAAGAGGCATACAATGAAGCAAGCGAAGAGACCGAACCAGGCACTAAGGATCACATTTCTTCGCCGTCTGTATCTCTAAACGGGGAATCTCGTACAGAGAATCGCGAGGTGGAGCATCAAAGCAGCACAGACCACGATCGGGGACGTCCTTTATTAAATGAAGAAGATCCGTATGATGATGAGGAAGAGGAATCACCTAGGAATATCGCCAAGACCAAGTCAGGCTCGCCGACAGAATATGACGATGAGTCGCAGTACATTGACGAAGCTCAGAAATACATGGATGACGATTCTGGTCCGGATGAGATAGGACAATTAAGTAAGTGCTTTTAGCTGTGGCAGACATAAGTTAGAATTTACTTTGAGTAATGATTACATTTGCTAAAATTGTCAAATAGTGTCTCTATTCTCGCTGTCCTTTGTTACTTTGTATATGGTTATGTAGTGTTTTGCTGCACTTTCCTAATGTTCACCAACACATTTATACACAAAGTTTAATCTTTCTCAATCTCACCTACCCTTTTATGGTATGATACTTTTAAGTATAAACACATCACACAGACAAGATTATTTTAATTGTATTTCTTGCACATTTTAAACACGTCAGACAGACAAGATTATTATATATATATATATATATATATATATATATATATATATATATATATATATATTTGGCCGCATATAACCGACGTTGCCCAAAATGTGGCTGATGTATATAATTTTAATCTAAATGTCTCTTTGTGAACTTTGAGACAATTTGCCCAAAATTATATATGTATGCAGTTGCAGTCTAATTTAGTTTGTAGTTTCGAACCACTTTTCAAGCCTATTTTTCTACTTTACAGCAGCTGATTCATTTCACAAATTGATTCATCCTGGCTTAGATTGTATACGTTGGTGATTAGGCGCAGTGGCGTAGCTAGGGGGGGGGGCGGCCGCCCCGGGCGTCGACATCAAGGGGGTGCAAAAAAGCTTGGAATTAAACACAGTCAAAGAATGTAATGCCGACATCAGAATAAGAATAAAATAAATATATGCGAAAAAATATAAACAAAATATAAACACAAATAATGACATCAGTAATATAGCCATAAATGTTTTCACATCATTACCAGTGGTATCAAAATTAGCTGAAAAAAATAATGCTTTTTGTAGTAAAATAAGTTAATTATTATTAATTATAGTACAACACCATACCAAAAATGTATCAATTAACGGGACCAAAAATAATGTAATATTTTTAAAATTAAAAAGGATAAATTAATACTAGTATCTCGGTTAATGTCTAGAAGTGTGTCTGTCTATGTTTTTGTGCGTGTATAGAGTGAGAAAAAGATTTAGGTGCAGCCCTATCATTATCACTAACTGTCAACCCCTTTTTCCATTGTCAACCCCTTATCTCCTTAATTTCGTATTGAATGACTACTCTAGACACCGCTTTTGTGTTTTAGATTCATTGTCTTAATTAAAACTATGTACAGGTTATTAAGAAGATAGTTCTGATGATTTTTTAATATTCATTTAGTTTTGCAAGTGCATTATTTCATGACACTTTGTGTTTCTAGAGACATTATTGTGAATACGACAGATAGAATGTACTATTTAACTAGAAAGAGTATTTGATAAAGCGTATTCCACCAGTAAAATAAACAGTGATCTAAGTAATGTTCTCACATTATAGCGATCTGGGTAGAAGACCAATTGTACAATTCTTGTTTAGTTAGACACGCGGTTATAGAAATATGAATGCTTTTAAAGCTTTGCAAAGAAATAAAACCCACAATGTTGTCTTAATAAGTTAGAGAAGGTTTTAGTTTTATTTCACGTTGGTGAATAAGCATGAGCTAGTTCTCACAATCAAATGAGGCATAGCGTATTGTGTCCTTCAAATATAACGTTTATTTCATTTTCAATCCTTAACCAGTTTGCAACTTTGTTTAGTAAATATTTATTTGAAATAACACTGTATTCATGCACATAATATTTGCTATTCCCTTCTAGGCATGCACGAGGAAATTCCTCTAAGCCATAACGATTTGAGGAAGTTTTCGGCAGTCGAATCGACCGAGCACGTCTCAGTGGCAAATGTTGGTGCAGTACGGAGCGTCTCCCTCCAAGAGGAAGAAATGTTCAACGAGAGTGCACACCATAGAGTAGGTAAACGGCCGGAGTGGAACTCTGAGGTGGAGCTCCGTAGTAACGCGAGTTCGTCACCAGTCAGAGAGAGGAAATCACATGGATCGCGGTCTGATGAAGAAAGGAAGCATCGATCTATCAAAGACAAGGGAGACGATCGAAGGAGCAGAACGACACCTGAGTCTAGAGACAACGTATATAAGGAGCATTCCTCGCATAAATACCACGATGATGTGGACAGAGGCTCGGACTGGCATTCTACTAACGAGGATCAGAGGTGTCGTGTAAGTCCCTCCGAAAGCCATGACCGGCAGCATACGAGGTCTCGCAATGAAAGGCAACTACAGAGACCAAACTCTGACACATACGTCCAGAAACGGATAACAACACCAGCAGGCCAGGATGAGCGATTGGCTTACAGACCAGTAGAGAGCTACCGGGGAAAGTGTTCGCGTGATGGGACGCCTCGTTCTCACTCGCCGGTCTTTTATGAAGACGGGCCACCTAAAGGCAAGGCGTTATCTAGACCGGTCTCGCCGGAAGAGGGAAGCTACGAGGATGACGAACACGTATCTAAGAGCCCATACGGCTCTTCCCGTGGCAGGTCATCTGGCTCTGGTAATACAAAATCATGCAAGTGTCAGACCGATTTTGATGATCCCCATCAGCCCCAAAAACAAACCAGCGACTGCGAGGTCCGTCCCAAGCCTCAAAACTACATTGAAGAATCGCGGAGATTTTTAGCGGAGCATAGAAATATTCGAGCCGCCCTTGAAGTGAAATGCAACCGGGAATTCTTTCGGAGTAAAACTATCATCCCTCCATGGCAGACCAGGGGACCTGCAAACATCGGTCGCTGTTGCGGTCACAGGGAGGACCGTTACCGGCTAGCAGATAGACATTGCTTCTCTAGCAGAAAGTATGCGCACAACGCTACAAGACCAATGGACTATCAGCAGAGAGTTGATTGCGTGGGGAGCTCTCCTAACAATTTTGACGCCGCTGGACCCTCACCCGTCAGTAGTTGTTTTGCGAGGACCATCATCCCGACCTGTCCCACTACTGAGTGTCTCAGCTGCGTTCAAAATAATGCGCAGCCGTTATACGTGCAGCCTCCGGGGAACCGTGCGTATACGAACTATGAAATGCCGGTCCGATTTTACACCGACCCTGTCGCCTTGTCGAATATGTATGGCAAACAGCCTGTGGCCATGTCGAGTGTGTATACCAACCAGCCTGTTGCTATGCCGTGTAACTGTGTTAACCAACCAGAGCCGCTGCCTTTGTTCAATAATTGCCCAAAGGTCGAGTTCCAAAACCAGACTTGCTCTCCCATGCAGATGGCAGGATTTTACAAGGAAGACTGCCATGACGGAAGCTCGTGGAATGAGAACTACATAAGCCAGGGCTATGTGCCTGCTCCAGCATACTCGCAGGAGCGGCGAGTGCCTCGAGCCTGGTTCAAGAAGGCAAAGGATGATGACTCAGACAGCACATAATACATGGTCGAGCCAGCAGCCTTGAAGAAACTTGCAAACTAACCCTATATCAACTGGGAAAAATCTGCAGTTTCTTAAAGCAACCTTTTATCAATTGGAAGATAAGCAGTTTAATAAACTAACCGTTTATCACCTGGGAAAAATCTGCAGTTTCTTAAAGCAACCTTTTATCAATTGGAAGATAAGCAGTTTAATAAACTAACCGTTTATCACCTGGGAAAAATCTGCAGTTTCTTAAAGCAACCTTTTATCAATTGGAAGATAAGCAGTTTAATAAACTAACCGTTTATCACCTGGGAAAAATCTGCAGTTTTGTAATGCAACCCTTTATCAACTGTGAAAAGCCCACAGTCTCGGAAACCAATGCCATATTACCTGGCAAAAACCTGCAGCGTAGCCTACGAAAACTTCGTCACATAAGCCTCGATTAAAAAAACAATGTACAAGTACTTGCAAGTAAACAATATGTTATTCTAAGGCATAGTTACATCCAGTGATCGGAATAAAATTTCTAATACACCCACCTTAAACTGATTATCGTGAGTTCTGTGTACAAATGCAACTAGAACCCTTACACTCGAAGCATGAGTCTGAGCAATGAGTGTTAACCGCATCTTTTACTTTTACCACGTAGGCCTATAATTTAATTTAAAGCCATATACACGTGTATTTATTCATAGAAGTATAATGTATTTTTATCTTTTTTTCTGTTCTTGATTTATTACAATCTTTTGAATCTATTTACTTTTATTTTGGGCTGAAATTCTATTATAGATATTTCTTTATCATTGTATCCGGTAAAAGCTCGTAACGCTTTATGAAGATGCCAGTTGCTTCCTCTGTCTGTCGTCAGTTAGTCGTCAGTATGTCTAGATCGAAACGCTCGAAGGATATTTCGGGCACTTCTGACAGATTTGGTTCAAAGTTGGCACTTGGGTCAAGACATTACATTAAATTTGATTTAATTGGATGGCTAATTAATTTTTATGAATTTATTTAAAATTTCTGAAATTATTAGGATGCCTTGTACTACTCGTTCCGCTTTATTATTCGCGCATTATTATGTACATTTGGTATGCAATAGTTTTTCGTCATACTCTACTAGCCGTTCCGGCCAGGCCCTGCACTGGCCACTGTTAAAAACCTATCTGTTAAGGACCATTACATGTGTGTTTAGTAATCAGCATATACCCGGCATCGTCCGTCCTAAACACAACCAACCAAAACCAAAATTATAAAAAACGCAAACATAACACAAATACAAACGCAAACTCAAACACAAACATATGCACAAAGAAATACAAACACAAACGCTTAAAAACCGAAAACAAACCAATTTGGTGTGTAATAGTTTTTCTTCATACCACTCTACTAGCCGTTCCGGCCAGGCCCTGCACTGGCCTCTGTTAAAAACCTATCTGTAACGGACCATGACATGTGTGTTTAGTTTAGTAATCAGCATATACCCGGCTTTGCCCGTCCTAAACACAACCAACCAAAATACAAAAAAAAATAACGCAAACGAAACACAAAGACAAACACAAGCACAAAGAAAATACAAACGCAAACGCAAAAAAAAAACGAAAACAAACCAAATTCAAACGCAAACAGAAAGAAAACGCAAACATAAATGCAAAGTACTCACAGTCTAGCCCAGGGCGCCAAATCGTACCATGTTGTGGCGCCGGCGGAACCGCCTGTTTTAGCTTAGTAAACGACTAGAGTACCCCAATTTATTCATAGTTTTTTGCACTCACTTAAACGGACGTAGGCGTCATAGCGAACATGAGTAGGCCCGGGCGGCAAATAGCACCTTGTCGGGGCACCGGAGGACGCGCGGATTTGACTCACTTAAATACTAACCTTTCCTATCCATAGTCTATCGCACAATTTAAAACGAAATTATGCACCATAGCGCTCACAGGATAGTCCAGGGCGCCAAATCGAATTCTGCCGGGGCGCCGGTGGATGCGCCTGTTTCAATTAAGTGAACAATTACAATACCCCAAGCTTATCTGCTAACGGAAAAACGTAAACAGAGGACATTTAGGAGCAGGCTTTTTAACTGTTATTGATTTATAAAAAAAAATATTTGCGGTGCAAAACAACGTCATTTGATGGAAACTTTGAAGCTATAAAATATAAACATAGCTCTTAAAAGAATTTTTTTTCCGATCTAGCCTTTACAATCGAGATCGTAGTAAAACTTTACGCCGTAAAATATACCGCTAAAACGTCCGCTTAAAAAAGGTATGCACAATGGTAAGGTAAAAAAAGACGAAGTTCATCATGTTTTACTGCGACAGACAAAAACGAAATCCCCCCCCCCCCCCCCAAAAAAAGACAGATAATATCCTGCGGAAATTCCAGTTCCCGAAAATAGATGTTTTTTGTTACTTCAGCTGTCTTTGATTAAAAACTATAAGAAGAAAACAGTACTTCGGTGTATAAAATAAATAAAAGACAGTATTTTAAAAAACCTACTACTTTTGCACTTGATCTATCCCCGCTAATTATGTAATTATTATTTTCCCAACACCAAAACAAAGTAATAAAAGTTAACCCCCCCCCTGATGTAATGTTTTTTTTAAGGGAAGTAATTGTGTTTTTCAAGAGAAGTATTGAGAATTTTTTTTAAAGTTGATACATTTAAAAAAAAAATTGTTTGATGGATATACCGACAAATATTTTTATAAGTTTGAAAAAAGAAAATTGTTTTAACAACACCTTCTATAATGGTTTTTTAAACCATGAAATTAGACAATGAGCGCTTTAGATTTATAACACTACTAGGTTTGCTTTGGTTTTAAAATAAAGAAATTGAGAATTCCAATATTTAATAATTTGGTGATTGGCTATTATGTGGAGTGCTTAGGGCCTAAGTTAAAAGAGTCTTGAGTAATTTCTTACCATGCAAACATGAGTGGAGTATTCGCAAACTTATTACCCGGTAGGTTATAGAATTGCAAAGGCTTCCTTAATAGTATAAAATAAAAATTATAATAAATTTAGTTTCGCGATTAATTTAAAAAATTTCACTACAATTCATAGCTTAATTGATAACGAAATATTTACTTAAACGAATGCTATACTTTTTAACATTTGTTTTACTTTTAATTCGTTCGTCAATGTATTTATATATATCTTATATAAGGAGAATTTTTACTCGCGGTCATTTTTAGTCCCTGGTCGAGGGCTTTGAGTCTGACCAACAGTTTTTCCATACGGCCTATTCATCTATAGAGGTGCATGCAAAAATTTAGCCAGGAATACATAGGTTAAATACCCTAAAATTTGTGTTTAAATTACCCTTTTTTTCGCATAAAATACAAAGATTATATAGGGAAATACTTCTGGTCAGTTTTGTCCACTTTACGAAGCTTTCCCGGATATGACGAGTTTTTATGACACCCCTAGGCGTTCTCCTACCACCCCACAAAATATCAAGGGGGTTCGTTCGGCAAAAGTTTTTTTTCGTAATATAGCCTATATAAGGCGGCGGTCAGTCGAGGTCACTTTTGACCCCCTCTTCGTGGACTTTTTGGCCAACCGGCACCGGCCTTCGTGTTCTGTCGCAGCAAGGCAGGATCCTGCCAAATTTAAAGCGCCTCGGCTCCGGGTAGTGCCCCAGCGGGCACCCGAATACTTTGCTTTATCTAATATATAAAGTTCAATTCTGTATGTTTGTATGTTTGTAAAATGTTTGTCGTGGATTGGAGAGGGGTATAAGATAAAACGAAAAAAAAACGATACTTCTATGGATTCAAATGTTAGATTATTAAAGTACTCACGGTCTAAATTTATGAATTAAAAATTAATATTGAAAGTCTTTCAGGTCATTCATGTCCTTGATGTTTATTTCTTTCCGTTTACGGATAAGCTTGGAGTATTATAATTGTTCACTAAATTGAAACAGGCGCATCCGCCGGCGCCCCGGCAGAATTCGATTTGGTGCCCTGGGCTATCCTGTGAGCGCTATGGTGCATAATTTCGTTTTAAATTGTGCGTTAGACTATGGATAGGAAAGGTTAGTCTTTAAGTGAATCGAATCCGGGCGTCCTCTGGCTCCCAGACAGTGTGCTATTTGGGGCCCCAGGCCTCCCGTGTTCGGTTTGGCGCCTACATTCGTTTAAGTGAGTGCAAAAGACTTTGAATAAGTTGGGGTACTATAGTCGTTTAATAAGCTGAAACAGCATGGTGCAATTTGGCGCCCGGGCTAGACTGTGTGCACTTTGCGTTTGTGTTCGCGTTTGTGTTTTCTTTGTGTTTAGGTTGGGTTTGCGTTTTGATTTGGTTCGTTTTTGTTTGTGGTTTTTTCTTTGGGTTTGTGTTTGTGTTTGGTTTTGTGTTTTCGTTTGTATTTGTGGTTGGTTTTGGGTTTGTGTTTGTGTTATAGTTTGTATTAGTGTTTGAGTTTATGATATGTTTACTTTCTTTATTTGTGTTTTGGTTTTGTTTGGTTGTGGTTAGGGTTGGCAGTGCCGGGCATATGCTGATTACTAATCACACATGTCATGTTTCTTTACAGATAGGTTTCTGAAAGCTCTTTTATAGACACCTGCACCAAACTACAAGAAGATATACAATTTTATATAATACTAGACTACCCGTCATCCGTTGGATAACTGTGGGTTTCGGGGTTCATCCATAAAAAACATCACGTCTGTCACTTATCGTCACAAAAAACCAGACCCCACATTCAAAAAGATGTTTTTTATCTTTTAAAAACACCGAAAACACCGATTTCGGACTATCCCTTCATATACTGACGCCACAGGTGACCTACTCAACTTTACTTCACCTGCCCAGTGTCCCGCCAAGTCTCAGACATGTTTTTATCGTTTAAAAAAACGATTCCAGCCGAGCATGTCTCTGACAACACTATCCCTTCATATGCTTAGGACAAAGAAACAGATGAACTCTACTTCATCTGCCCTGTATCCCGCCAAGTTCAGATAGGCAACTTTATCATTCACATCTAAAAAAAAAAAAAAAAAAAAAATTGAAAAAAATATCATTGAGTCTCCTTATGCAACTTGATTTACGCGCATAGATCTAGATCTAAAACCAGACCCCACATTCTAAAAGACGTTTTTTATATTTTAAAAACTCTACTAAACTCTACTTCACCTGCCCAGTGCCCC